CCTAGTCCTTCATTAAAGGTTTTTTTTTTTTTTTTTTTTCTAAGTAGCATGAGTAAGTGATTTTTGATCAAACAGTATAAATAGTTTTCTGCACATTTCTCTCTCCTTTTTTTTAATATTTATAAAACTGACAAAAATTATTTTGGAACCATTATAGCTCTTTAATTAAATTACAGATAGTTTAAAAATACACACAAATTGTTCAGCATCTAATATTCTTAGTGGAAGAAAAGAATATCTTGTTGCTCATTAAGTTATTGAAATATTTCAATTTGTACCAACTATATTTATTTCTATTATTTAATTTGTAAAGATTGGAAGGGAAAAGTTATTAGATATTTTGAAATCAAACATTTAAAGACAAATTTTATACAACCAATACTTTAAAAGATTTTGGAATTGTTTACATGTATATAAGAACAATGACAGTATGACTTTATTATTTTCATTGTAAAATTAATCATATGCAAATAAAAATTATAACGAAAAGAAAACAATGATCAAGGGAAGTAAAGGACACTAATAATATAATTATTGAGTTACAAAAATAATATACTTATTTAAAAAAGATAACAATCAAATAGACATTCCAGGATTATTGACCTGTTTCATGCTGTTTCCAAAATTTATAAAATGGTAATGACAAACAAATATCTTATAAAAGGAAAAGTCGTGAAAAATTCCAATGTATAGAGAATAATATTGTAGACAAATCTGTGAAACAATTTGGAACAAACTTCAAAGGAACTAATGTTTTTTATGTATTAGGTGAGGTTAGTACAATTCATAGTATGCAAAATTAAGGTAGTCATATTGTCCTTGCAAGCTGGTGCTGTATTACAAACAAATTAGTTTTAAAAAATTTAAACGGATCATACTTCCATAATAATTTATCATAAAATTTTATTTTAATCAATTTATGTGTAAAACAGTAACAATGTTGATGTTAATATATGAACACAAAATGTAGAGAATAAACAGGAATAATTAAATTATTAATATTTTCAATTAACAATATTGAAAAATTAATTATTTGTTTTATTGAAATGACTGCTACTGTAGAATTATATAATTAAGCAAAAACAAATTAAAAATTTATTCAATCAATAACTTAAAATGTAAAAATTTTAGTCTTTCTTAATGTCATTTTGTAATTATTTTTAAATTAAATATTTTGTTAATCCTAAAAATCAAGAAAATATGAAAAATCAAATACTATTATTTTAATCTGTTGGGTAAATGTATTTTATAATTTATTAGTGAATTTTTTTACTTTTTGTTATAAAAACATAATTAAAATTTATATTTCATATACGAAATAATTTTATTTTAATAATTTGTTGAAATTATTATTTTGTTAACATCTGTTTAAGAAAGTTACAAAATGACAAAATGAATTACTTTATAAGTTATTATATTGTGAAGTAATATTACAAATGTCGTTATTTTCAGATCTTTACAAACAAACAAAAAAAAAAAAGACACTTTGAATCAAAGAAAATATATTATTTTTCATTTTTTTCCTTATTGAAAAATTTCTTAATTATAATTTTAAATATAGTTTATTGTTACAATAATTTTTATTTATTGATATTGTAAAACTTACTTAAGCAATTGAAAATAAATAAAATATTTTTGTAATAGGAATTTACCACAGCAAGATTTGTACGTTTAAGGTTACAAAAAATACGTACTCTGAATGCAGATCTTATGCTTTTGCAAAATAATGCTTCTTATCAAGATAAATCTGTGACTAGAAGGGTAAGAGTAATATATTTTAAAAATTTAAATATATCTAAATGCTAAAAAAATATTTTAAAAAGAGCTATTGTTGCTTTAAAATTTAAGCAGCCAAGCAAATTTATTAAGATTCATTAAATCAAAGTTAAAAATAATCATAATCTTTACTGCTTTTTTTTAGGAGTATCTGAATTGCACATACACACAAAACTCCTTAGCCTAAGTACTTTTGAGCTTATTAGCCCATTGTTACAGGCTCCAAGTATGCTACATAGTAATAACATCAACTCAGAACCCAATTTACTTGATTAAAGTTAAATGATCTGTTGAATTATTGGGCTATTTTTAGACTACATTAATATTTAGTTATCAATTAATTTGATTAAAGGTAGGCAGATGTGCCACCAACTCATATTAATTTTAATAATTATAGTAAATTAATTTTTAATTTAGAAATTTCTGGAAGAAAAGAATTGACTTGGAGCAGGACTCAAACTTATAACTTCTGCTCACCATGCCAATGTGTTGCCAATTACATTATCTAGACCTCTGTCTGGTTTTTACTTCCAGAACTATTAATTTAAATATAATCATATGGGTTATACATGATTGATATACAAGTTTATGTTGCCAATGTAAAACATTTCACTGGCTGAGTGCCAAAGAAGTAAGGCTGTGGGAGCTTAAGATTTCTCTAGCTGGCATTGTGTATAATCCATATACTTATATCTAAATTAATAGTTCTGGAAGTGATGGAGATTTAATGGAGAACCAGGTATCATAATTAACTGCATCTGCATCTGTATGGTAAGAAAAAGTTGTAGGTTTAAGTCCCACTCTAAGCAGATTTTTTTTCAGAAATTTCTAAATTAAAAAATTAATTTATTATAATTATTAAAATTAATATGATATGATGACATATCCACCTACCTTTAATCAAATTAATTGATAACTAATTATTAATGTAGTCTAAAAATAGCTCAATAATTTAACAGATCATTTAGCTTTAATCAAGCAAATTGGGTTTTGAGTTGATGTTATTACAATGGAACATACTTGGAGCCTGTAATGATGCTCCAAGTATGTTTCATTTGTTCCATCCAAGTCTGTAATAAGAAGCTTAAAAGTATTTATGCTAGTGTTTTTTTTTTTTTTTTTATTATTTTTTTTTTATAATCCAAAAGCATTACTTGATGTTTAAAATTGTAAGGATATGAATTTGATGAAAGATATTGTGTCAAGGTAAAACAAAGAGAAAAAAGGACAACAAAGATGGATGTAAGAACACAACACACATTTATTCTATATTAAGAACAAATGGACAACTGCACCCTTAACAGGGTTCACACAAATTAGGTCAATGCTCAGACAGTAGAGTAGAGGGTGTGATGATTCCAAGATTAAAGGTTATATTTGCAACTTTCTAACAAAAACTTAACAATGTTATTTGGAGTTTTCTTCTTTGCTTTCATTAAAACAGAAGAAGCTAGAAATAACTTTATGAAAGTGCTTTTATAATTAACATTATGCTTTTTATACATCATAATGTTAATTATATTGTATATTTTTTATTAAAATTTTGTTTTTTTAGTTAAAATTGTATTTATTATTAATTATATTTTGAAAATAAATATTGAAATGCTTCATAAATAGTCTGATTTATTACATATACTTATATGTTTCTTTAGATTCATACTTCACTAATAAATGGTAGACCAAGTGCTGATGATCCTAGTCCTTCATTAAAGGTATGTTTTTTTTTTTTTTTTTTAAGTAGCATGAGTAAGTGA